TTTTTTTTTTATTTATTGTACAGATGAGGTCTCGCCTGCCCAGGCGGGTCTTGAACCCGCGGGCTCAGGCAATCCACTCACCTCAGCCTCCCAAAGGCGCGGGATTACAGGCTGAGCCACCGAGCCCCGCTATAAACTCTTTTTTAACATTTGTCATCAACACATACTTGAGGCCTCATTAAGAACACAGGATTTGAAGTCAAACTGACCTGACTTCAAATCCCAGTTCCACCTTTCCTAGCGGTATGGCCTGAGGTTAATTGCTTAAGTTCCCTAAAGCAATTTCTCAAATGAAAGAAATTACAATAAACAGCAGTATATTCCAGCACTGCTGTGGGGATTAAAGAGGATAGTGTATAGTGTCTGGCACACAGTGGTTGCTCAAAACATGGTATTTCTTTAGACCATGCTACTCCTGTTGCATGCTACTCCTGTTGCACCCCCAGCTTATATATATTTTGACCTGCACCCACCCCACATCTTATGTTAAATACAATTTTTGCTAAAAATTTGAGATAATTTTTAAGTTTTGCTTTTGAAACTTATTATTTATACTTCTTAACAGAGATTATATACATTCAAGAATTCTTTCAGACTGTTCTTACAAACCAACAATTTTTCCAATGTAATGAAATTATTCTGAGCACAAAATATAATTTATAAAATTGATGCATATTTTCCGACAGTTATTTAAACATTTATGGAATTTAATTTTGTAGTTATCCTCATATTTTGAGGCCAATAACTTTTCTCAAGTTCAAATCCCTTTGCCAGTCCTTGAAAGGTTCATGGGCCTCAAGCATTGTGCTTATAGTCCTTAATGTATTAAAATAAAAGTTTCTGGCCAAAATTATTGCTATTTCGCATATGCATTACTTTTATGGCTACAGAATATTTAATTTTGTGTATGCTCCAAAATGTGTTCGACCATTCCTCTATTATTAAACATTTAGGGTTTTTTTCAATTTTTCCCTATTATAAATGCTGCTGCAATCTTTTCAGTATATTAGCATTATTACTTTAGGATCAATTCCCAGAAGTCAAATTACTGGGTCAGAGTGCATGAATATCAGAAATGGTTCTCAATATATATGCTCTAACTACTTTCCAAGATCAACTTATGCTCACACCAATAGCCAATAAAATTAAAATGTCCATTTTATTCCCCTATCATCGGCTTTAGTTTGTCTCAAATGTATATTTGTCCATTTCAAAGGCCAAAAAAATATTTGGCATTAAAATACACTCCTGATTACTAGCGAATTATTTACAAATTTTTTCTCATAATTTTTAAGCCATATGCATTTTTTGTTTTATGTCTCTTTCCCTGCTTCTAAGAGTTAGTGGTAAGCAGTGAATATCCCCAAATTTGTGGTTTGCAGCCTTATGGAGAAGCAGCAGTTAGTAATACTACGTACTTATAAACTGTGCTAATACTGTGGATTGGTTTACTCCACTCCAATTTGACCCCGAAATCTCCTGAAGCTAAGATTCTGCATGCAAATTAGATATCACCAAGTAGATGCCCTTATGTGAAGTTTGGCAAGTGAAAGAGGGTTGACAAACTAGAAAGAGTAGTCCTATCTCTATATATGAGGTTTTTCTGTAGTGTTTGTTTTCTACCTTCCTAGTTATTAAGGGAATTGAAGTGCTGCCCAAGCAAAAGCAGCAACAATAGCTTCTTAACTAGTTTCTAATTGCTGGGTCACAGCTATCGGATGCTCTTTGTCTAGCTCCCTAGGAATCCAGAAACAGCTGCAGCAGATGCACAAGTAAAAATGGCAGGTTCTTGATTCTGGCAGAGTTCTGAAAGTGTCAAAAATTGGAGTTCTATTGAGGTTTCAAGTCTGTATTTTTCTGGAACTATGCTTGTAAAATAGACCTTCAGGCCTTGCAGCAATCTTGTCAGTAGGCAATTCTCTGTTTAAACGTTTTTCATGTAAATTGTTATGAACTTTTTGGAATGTAATTCAACCATATATATTATGATTTAAAAATACATATGCCCTTTGACCCAGCGATCTCACTTGGAAAATTCTACTGCACAGAAATAAAGAGCATTAGTACTCACTGTCACAAAGACATATATTGCAGTTATTTTTAGTGGCAGAAAACAACCTGGAGACAGCCTGAATGCCCACCAATGGAGAGGATGTTTAAATTCATTACAGAATATCCACACTATAGAATATTATAGTCAAAACTCAAAACAATACAAAAAAAAGTTGTACATGTATTGACCTGAAAGTATGCAATAATATACTTAAAGAAACAAGTTGCATAATTCCATTTTTATGATAAAAAAAGGTGAGGGACATTTCTTCTGGCTTATAATACTTAGAGTGACTTCCGTTTTCTGCCCTGAACCATAGCTAATGTACACACTGCCATCATCATCATTAAAAGTTATATACCTGAAGTGTTGCAAACATCTGGTTTCCAATTCAGTTATGGACTGCATGAATGAGATAAATATACATGAAAATTCTGGGAGGCCCAATATTTATTAAAATATTGTGCCACACAAGGGACTTGTGTTGAGATGGAGCAACTTGTAGCAGACCAATGCTGTTGCTGAGAACAACTAGAAAAACTAGATGAAATATCACCCCCAAAATTTGCTTTTTAAAGGCATCAGAGACCAGAACTTGAGAGGTATGGACCCCATAAGAAGGGAAGCTCATCAACTTTCTGCATGCTGTTTTTCCCTTAGTATATTTGTCAATTCTTGGTTCACACATTAGATAGAGGGTGGTCCCTAAGATGCAAAGAAACCAACAGAGCTTTAGATAAAACCACAAGAGTCAGGGAACAAAAACTGGAATTTAAGACCCGCCAGGGCCAACTAGGACTTGCGCAGCCATTATCCTGAAAGCACAAGATTACAGAAAAGTGAGGCTGACACACAGTACCCGTTTTCCTCTCCAGGAGATTGCCAATTAAATTGCATAGGGTCAAAGATGAAATGCCAAGCAGAGTGACTAAGAAATAGAGTGGAGTTTGAAAAAGTTTCACAGAGCTGAGGAGACATAAATTGGAGTGCAAAACTTCTCAAAGGAGAATGTCTCTGGGAAAC